TTTTTTTTTTTGAGACAGAGTCTCGCCATGTCACCCAGGCTGGAGTGCAGTGGCGTGATCTTGGCTCACTGCAACCTCCGCCTCCTGGGTTCAAGCAATTCTTCTGCCTCAGCCTCTCGAGTAGCTGCGACTATAGGCATGTACCACCATGCCTGGCTAATTTTTGTATATTTAGTAGAGATGGGGTTCACCATGTTAGATAGGCTGGTCTTGAACTCCTGGCCTCAAGTGATCGACCTGCCTCGGCCTCCCAAAGTGCTGAGATTACAGGCATGAGCCACTGCACCTGGCTGCTACAGCATTTTGAAGAGTATATTATATTGTAACCAGACATGGTGGCTAACACACCTCTAGTTCCAAGCACCTTGGGAGGGTGAGGCAGGAAGATCACTTGAGCCTGGGAGTTTGAGACCAGTCTGGACAATATAGTTAGACCCCATCGCTACAAAAAATAAAAAGAATTAGCTGAGTATGGTGGCATGCACCTGTGTGGTCCCAGCTACTTGGAAGACTGAGATGGGAGGATCACTTGAGCCTAGAAGTTAAGGCTACTGCAGTGAGCCCTGACTGCACCACTGCATTCCAGCGTGGGTGACAGAGCAAGACTCTATCTCGGGAGAGCTGGCGGGGGCGGTGTGGAAAGAGTATGTTCTATCACAAGTACTTCTTTCTTCATCATCCACTTTTAGCAAAATATCTAAGAACTCTAAACAACATCGAAAAATTACTGAGCTAAATTCTCAATAAATATCAGCTCTGCTACTTAACTAGCTGGGCAACTTTGGCAAACCATAATCTTCTATTACTCTTCCAGATAAAATGAAAGCTTCTGTGCAGATGATCTTGAAAGTCTAAATAACTTCTAGTAGTGATCTCTATGTTCCCCAAATGCTGTATCTACTCAACTAATTTTTAGTCAAAGGATATCACAAAGGATTATTTTTTGGCCTACATTTTCTATTTCACTTCAACTTTAAAAACTTAAAAAGGAACCTCACAACTTAACTGTGAACCATATAGATCATCCTGAAGTTTACCTTTTGTCCTCGTTTCATTGGCTGTACAGTCGCAACATTTTTGCTTGTGTTCTGATGAGTTTCAATGTGTACAGTACTTTCTTTTTCTTTATCCTTTCCCTCTATCACTTCTAAATCTCCTGAGTCACTTGGAAGCTTTTTCTTTTTCATTTCCCTGAATAAAAAAGACATGGAAACATCTCATTCTTAGAATTTCAATTCTTAGTGCCCTAAAAAAGTTCCATGGGAAAGGGCACATATACAGTATATAAATGGTCATGGCTTCTGCTTCACTTGTTAATCACCAAGTTAGAAAATACAAAGATGCTCAAAATCATCACGTAGGAAAAAGATGAAAATTTTTCATCTCTCATGGATTTATCTTTCTTTCCATCATCCAAGCTCAACATATTGTCACCCCTGACTCATCCTTACTCACTAGGCACATTTAGCCCCTGAACACCTTAATGGCCAGGCACTGGGATTTGTACTCTTTGTGTCAACATAGCATTGGAAGGTCTTAGGCATTTAATAAAACATTTCTTGACTGGTTGGTTGACTAAATGGATTAAAAAATACACAGGTTAAGAAGGAAGGGTAAATTTTATTACTGTGGTATTCTTCTTTCTGTTCCCAATGCCAGCGTCTTAGTTCAGGTCCTCATTACATCCCACCCAGACTTCTTCCAGAGTCTACATATTCTGAATTTTTTTTTTAAGACAGAGTTTGTGCCACCACGCCCAGTTAACTTTGTATTTTTAGTAGATATAGGGATTCACCATGTTGCTCAGGCTGGTCTTGAACTGACCTCAGGTGATCTATTCGCCTCAGCCTCCCAAAGTGCTGGGATTACAGGCATGAGCCACCACATCCAGCCATTAACTTCTGTTTTAATCTTCCTTAATCATTTGCCTATGTCACATTCTCTTCGTATCACTTTAAAGGGTACAGTCCAAAATCCTTAGCTATTAAGTACTCCATTTTTAGTTCAAATTTACTTCTCCAATCATATCATCTACTATTTAATAAACAAACTTTCTCTTCCTTCCCACTGAGTCTATTTATCATTTCCCCAAAGCACTATGCATATTACCCCAAAGAAGCACTCCTCTTTGTTAATGCTAATTCTCCTTGGAGTCTCCCTCCTTCATTTACTTAACCGCTAACATATCTTTCAAGGTGTACTTCTGATGTTATTTCCCCAAACATCTGAACTCATAGCAATCTCTTACTCTTGAACTACTTTATCACTTTCAGATACTATTTACATATTTATGACTACTTCCTGAATCCAGGACTCAAAAGCCTCTTTAAGGCATGAGCTTTATACTTTACCTCTTTGTCTACTCAGTAAGTATCTAGCACAGTGCTATATACTCAGAATTCTCTGTAATTGTTTAATGATTATCTTTCTCAAATGAAAAGGCTTTACTGTCCATTCCGATTTAGGGCCTCTTCCTGGAATGCTTTAGTTGTCTTAGTCTTTCCCACCCTACAGTAGTCGTTTCCCTCCCTTCTGCCCTTGCCTTGCTTCTACTTGCTTCCTGAGACCTGTTAATTTAAAAAAAAAAAAAATTGGCCTGGCATGGTGGCTCACGTCTGTAATCCAGCACTTTGGGAGGCCGAGGCGGGCAGATCACGAGGTCAGAAGATCGAGACCATCCTGGCTAACATGGTGAAACCCCATCTCTACCAAAAATACAAAAACAAAATTAGCCAGGCGTGGTGGCAGGCGCCTGTAGTCCCAGCTACTCGGGAGGCTGAGGCAGGAGAATAGTGTGAACCTGGGAGGCAGAGCTTGCAGTGAGCCAAGATCACGCCACTGCACTCCAGCCTGGGCCACAGAGCGAGACTCCGTCTCAAAAAAAAATAAAAAATAAAAAATCAAGTCTTCTGCCTTATGTAAAACTTTCCTAATTTCAGGTATTCCTATTTATTCCTGACAATATTACCCTAGAACTAGTCTATGTAATACACTGAAATCATTATTGTACATGTTTATGTAGTAAAAGCTCTGTCTTATTAGAGCAAGTCCTCAAATAACATAATTTAATTCAACATCATTGTTATAACTTTGATGAGAACGAAAAACAAAATTGATTCCTGGCCATGGCCACCATCTGTGCAGAGTCTACATGTTCTCCCCATGTCTGTGTGGGTTTTCACCAGATACTCAGGTTTTCTCTCACATCCCAAAATGCGCATGTTAGGTTAACTGGCGTGTCTAAATTATCCCAGCATGAATGAGTGCCCTGCAATGGAATGACATCCTGTTCTGGGTTGGTTCTGGCCTGTTGCCCTGATTTGCCAGGATAGGCTCTTCCCACCAATGACCCTTAACTGGAATAAGCGGTTGAAAAACAAATGAATGAATGAATGACAATATAAATGATTGTCAAAAATTCATAAACTAAACAATAGTCATACAAATGTACAACAATAAACAATGTAGTATGAAAGTGCTTAAAGAACGTGCCATATTTTTGTTTTTGAACCTCATGGTAGTAGGAGGTACTCTACAATTTTCACTTTGCAAATAGTCCTTGATTTAACCCACTACCACAACTACCATCACTCATTGATTTACCAAAAATTGGGTAAATAATTATCGTGCTTGCTTTCATTAATCTTTCTTAAATATATGTACAGTTTATATTTATTTTAATGTTTAGTATTAGACGTGTTTTCAGTCTTTATTTAGAAGTTTTGTGATAGTTTTGTGACCAAAAATATGCCAGAGGAACTTAACTCCTGTTTATATCAATTAGCCCATGGCAAAATTGGTTTCATTACACATTGTTTCTCTTAAGTCCAAGTTTCCAAGAATCTACTGAAAATGTTAAGTGGGCTGGGCGCAGTGGCTCACGCCTGTAATTCCAGCACTTTGGGAGGCCGAGGCGGTTGGATTACGAGGTCAGAAGATCGAGACCATCCTGGCTAATGCGGTGAAACCCCATCTCTACTAAAAATACAAAAAATTAGCCGGGCATGGTGGCCGGTGCCTGTAGTCCCAGCAACTTGGGAGGCTGAGGCAGGAGAATGGCGTAAACCCGGGAGATGGGGCTTGTAGTGAGCTGAGATCGCGCCACTGCACTCCAGCCTGGGCGACAGAGTGAGACTCCATCTCAAAAAAAAAAAAGAAAATGTTAAGTGAAGGCCGGGCATCAATGGTTCATGCCTGTAATCCCAGCACTTTGGGCAGCCAAGGTGGGAGGATCACTTGATCCCAGGAGTTCAAGACCAGCCTGGGCAACATGATGAAACCCCATCTCTACAAAAAATATAAACATTTTTGTAATGGCATGTGCCACTACAGCTACTTGGGAGGCTGAAGCAGGAGACTGCCTGAGCCTGGGAGTTTGAGGCTGTAGTGAGCCACAACTGCACCTTAGCACTCAAGCCTGGGCAACAAAGCGAGACCCTGTCTCAAAAAAAAAAAAAACAAAAAAAAAGAAAAGAAAATGTTAAGTGAGGACTTACCCTACTAGGTCTATTTCATTGATTACAGTGACAGATTAGGGCCCTTAAACAGAAAAATGTATTAGAGCTTAATATTAACAACGAAAAATTTCTGCTAAATCTTGGTCAATTTAATGAAGGAAGTCTTTAAACAGCTAAGTAATCTGTGGTAGCTGAGCTATCAATTAAAAAAAAAAGAAAATCATGCTTTTTAGTTAGATAACACAGATGTGTTTACCTTCTTTCCTTGGCTGACAAATGTCTCCGGCTCTGTGATTTACTGTCACTCTATTAAAACAAAAAAACCAGGCAAATGCAAACATCACTATTATTAATTTTTTTGAAAAGTATTAAAAAGTAGAAAATGATTCCTTGAGAATAGGATGTTCTTCATAAAACTGAAAATAGCTTACAGAATTAGAAGATTCCTCTTTTGAAGCCAATTTCTGGAGGGACCTATGAAAATAAACAGAACGGAGTCTCTACCAGCCTGTAAAAGACACTCATTTACAAAGCCCCCAGATGTTCCCACACCATACTCTTAAGTACTGGCAATCCAACAGATTTTCACATTTGGTAAAGTGAGAAAAACATACAACCAAATTGCTCCTCTCTCCACACTTTCATATACATTTTAAAATAGGTGACGTGTACTGAAAACTTACTGTGTGTCAGGCACTGCCAGGTGGTATACATGCATAAATCCCCATGAAAGGGATACCGTTCTGTTTCACCAAGAAGGAAACTGAAGCTTAAGCACAAAGTAGCTTTACCAAGGACACACCCTAAGACCCAGCACTGGTCTGTCTGACTCCTAGACTGTTCTGAATTACATCGTTAATTGTGCATTTATAACTGTGGACTATTTACCTGATGATCTGTAAAACATTATGTAAACTAAAACACATTTCTTTGATGGAACTGCCTTTGTTATGTTTTTAGCATTTATAACCATTTAGTTGTTTCTCTTTGAATCTAGTTTGGCCACTCTAAATGCACTGTATTTTTCTACCCTGGTCCTGGGAATTTCTTTGCAGAGAGACCCAATCAAATGGTGAAAAAGCAGTAAAACAATGGAGGGTAAAAGTACTGATGTCAATCTTGGTATTTTCTTGGTAAGGATTACACCTCATCATCATTCTCGGCTTACACAATAATATGTAAAATTTTATTTTTTAATTACCTTTGGGGTTGAAGGTGGGACAAGTCAATGGTAGTATCAGGATAATCTAATGTCTCTTCCCCTTCATCCTTCATTTCACCAACAGGATCCTGATCTTTTCTAACCTCTTCATATTCTCCTTCATCTTCAGAGCTTTCTTCCTGAATGAGCTCCTCATTCAGTTCATCTCTACCACTCTGAACAGTGATATCCTCTTGGTTAACCTGAGTCATGAGTTCTACTTCTACAGGAGGAGTTTCATGTTCCTCTTTATCCTCATCACTGCTAGTGTCACCTCCATCTGTAGAATTACCATAAGGAAAGTCAGTGTGGGACTACCAACCATGCCAGGTCATTTCCTGAAAATGTCATAAAAATATTCCACTGACTGTTTCTCCCATATTTCTCCAAAAAATCACCAGAAAAATGCCTGATCGTTCCCAAAGGGTACTCTTAGACAAAACAATAACCTGTATCATGAATAGGTTGAACTAAATGATCTCCAAGATCCTTCACCACAATAAATTTCTTGGACATTGCTACCCTTTCAACATAGAAAACCACAACTTTGCCTTAGTTGAGTATTTCCAAAAAGCAAGACAGCAAAATTAGTTGTATAACTTTTGCTGCTTTTATTATAATTTGCACATAAAACTTAAATACATATTATATAACACACATAACAGGTGCTCATTCTTTTGCAAAGGAACTAATAGTAGTAATAGGGTCTACTGTCTCACCTGCAAAATGACATGCCACCACTCATCTGACAAGGATGGTTACAATAGAAAATAATGTAAATAGGCCAGGTGCAGTGGCTCACGCCTGTAATCCCAGCACTTTGGGAGGCCGAGGTGGGTGGATCACGAGGTCAGGAGCTCAAGACCAGCCTGGCCAAGATGGTGAAACCCCGTCTACTAAAAATACAAAAATTAGCCAGGCGTGGTGGCAGGTGCCTGTAATCCCAGCTACTCAGGAGGCTGAGGCAGAAGAATTGTTTGAACCTGGGCAGCAGAGGTTGCAGTGAGCCGAGATCGCGCCACTACACTCTAGTCTGGCAACAGACTGAAACTCCGTCTTGGGGATTAAAAAAAAAAAAAAGAAAAGAATGTAAATAAGGCACTTTATACAGTCCCAGGGAAATGGTGAGCCTCAATCAATAGAATCTTACAGCACAACAGTAATAGTAAATGAAACAATGCAATATTACCTGTAAAAAGGAATGACCTTAGCAGAGAGAGTAACTACAAAATAGTTTAGTGGGAATATTTTCCGTAGTTCCTTTAGGTAGGCAGGTAAATTTATTCTAGCAACCATAATTACTCTCTACTTGAAACAAATATTTTGCCTCCCAGGTTCAAGCCTACCACCTCAGCCTCTTCAGTAGCTGGGACTAGAGGCGCTGATTTTTTTGGTAGAGATGGGGTTTTGCCATGTTGCCCAGGCTCGTCCTTGGGTTGTCCCAGCCCAGGAGCTGGTCTCAAGCTCCTGAGCTCAAGCAATCCACCTGCCTCGGACTCCCAAAAGTGCTGGAATTACAGGCATGAGCCACAACGCCCGGCCTGATAAATACTTTTAAATTCACTAGAATAAGTATATTTAGCATTTCCAAAAACAAAATTCAGTAAAACAGCAAGTACTTTGGGTTTTTTTTTTTGAAATTGAGATTATCCCAAAAGAGACATGATGTTCTAAGGATTTAGAAGCAAAACTTGGTAACAAAAAACATCACAAACTAATTTCTTAAAATCTATAAACTACCTAATTGTTCCATTTCTTCTGATATGAGTTCGCCTGTGCAACTTGCCAGTGTCTCCATGTCTTCATCCTGTACTCTGACTTTTCGTTCACCCCGATGTCTCCAAACACAAGACTCATCTACCTAAAGAAATAGTTATTTGTCAGTGACGGAGCTTTAAACAAGACTAATGAAAATCAGGAAAAAAATAAATAAATAACCAAGAAGCTGAAGAGTACCTTAAAAAGGAAGCTAAACCCCATCATTAGATATGAGGGAGGAAGAAAATTCTTTTTTCCTACAAAAGATAACGTACATTAATGCTTTAAAAATCAGGTTTCTCCACTTTTTGCTTACAAAACAAAAAAAAATTAGTGTCAGATGACACGAATGGTCATATCCATTTTGTCTTTTACTATGTCATGAATAACATTTCCCATTTATACAACTGGGCAGTATGTATAGGAACAGTTATTAAGAAGAAAAAAAAATACATGCTTGCTCTGATATTCTGGGTCAGTCAGACCCTGAATATTCTATTTTCAGAAATAAGTTCAGGCTATACTTTCTTAACCTTATAACTAAACTACACGAAAGTACACTGCCCTCAAAAAAAATATACATGAAGATATGACAAACACTAAACTTGTCCCACCAAGGCAAAAATTTCTTTACTTCATAGCAGACTTTATATAAGAAATCCGAGTAATTAGTTTCTGTTCTAAGAGTATCTGTAAACTGTCCTCAAACCTGTCTCCATAATCTATTGACAAGTCTAGGGATATTTTTCCTGTCAAGACATTACCTCTTATCATGAAGCTTCCTGTTGTCAAATATTCTCCAGTTGGTGCTGTTTTAGATACCTGAAGAACACAATAATACATTGTATTCTTATTTTTAAAAATACTCCGGTTTTCTTTTTCCACTTGAGAAAGTAAAGTCAGAGTCAAGTAAGCCACACTGTCTCCTGAAAAGTTTGTAATTTCGTATAAATTCTCAATACTGAAGGGAAAGATAGCCCTTTCATGACAGATAAGCCTCTGGAAGTAACAAAGAAAAACAAAGAATCCACTACATCAATCATTTTCTTTCTTTTTTCTTTTGAGACGGAGTCTCACTCTGTTGCCCAAGCTGAAGTGCAGTGGCACAATCTCGGCTCACTGCAACCTCTACCTCCTGGGTTCAAGCGATTCTCCTGCCTCAGCCTCCTGAGTAGCTGGGACTACAGGCACCCGCCACCATGCCCCGCTGATTTGTGTATTTTTAGTACAGACGGGCTTTCACTATGTTGGCCAGGCTGGTCTTGAACTCCTAACCTCGTGATCCACCTGCCTCAGCCTCCCAAAGTGCTGGGATTACAGGCGTGAGCCACCATGCCCGGCAATAATTTTCAAATGCCATGGACGACAGCAGAACTGGTCCACTCATCTCTTCCAGCGTGAGATGTAATGAGAAAACTAATGATAGGTCAATGAGCTTATCATAAAGCTATGTTTATTAAAATAAAGCTCTATTTATTAAATAAAATCCTTGTCTAAGATACTGTTTTTGATAATAAAGTTTTTTTTTCTCTTTTTTTTGAGACGGAGTCTTGCACTGTCACCCAGGCTGGAGTGCAGTGGCCCAATCTTGGCTCACTGCAATCTCAGCCTCCCAGGTTCCAGCGATTCTCCTGCCTCAGCCTCCCAAGTAGCTGGGACTACAGGCACGCACCACCACGCCCGGCTAATTTTTGTATTTTTTTAGTAGAGGTGGGTTTTCACCATACTGGCCAGGCTGGCCTCGAACTCCTGACTTTATGATCTGCCCACCTTGGCCTCCCAAAGTGCTGGGATTACAGGCATGAGGCAAAAGTAACTTTTCACTATATGAAATAAAGATTACAGGAAAATTTTAAAAAATATATCCTATTTCGGCAAACAGAAAGTGAGTAAACTTATCCCATAATTTAAAAAAATTTTGGGGCCAGGCGTGGTAGCTCACGCCTGTAATCCCAGCACTCTGGGAAGTCAAGGCAGGTGGATCACGAGGTCAGGAGTTCAAGACCAGCCTGGCTAAGACAGTGAAACCCTGTCCCTATTAAAAACACAAAAATTAGCCAGGCGTGGTGACGGGTACCTATAATCCCAGTTACTCAGGAGGCTGAGGCAGAGAACTGCTTGAACCCAGGAGGCGGAGGTTGCAGTGAGCCGAGATCGTGCCACTGCATTCTAGCCTGGGTGACAGAGCAACACTCCATCTCAAAAATATATATATAAATAAATAAA